CCTCTCTCTCTCTCTCTCTCTCTCTCTCTCTCTCTCTCTCTCTCTCTCTCTTTCAAAATTTATGTACAAGTGATCTCTTGCTTTAGGTGGGACTCAGCCCTGGAGCAGAGAGGGGTTTTGCTGGATGCCGTGAAGGTTGTGGGATATTTAGGCTGTGTTCGAACTCATGGTCTTCTGTTGCAAGCCCTCACCTCATGCTGCGGAGACAGTGCAAGGTATTAATTACGCTTTATTTAGAGCAGGGCTTGTCAATCTTTTTATAGCCAACGCCCTATTTTGCCACGAATTGGAAGCTGAAATTTTCACTATTATTTCTAGGTGGGGTATAAAATACACCTGTCCCAGGTGATCCTCACTGCCCACCCATTTTAGCAAATGTGAAGCATGCTGACAAAATGAGAAACTTCTCGGATTCGAGCCCTATGGAAATAGATACATCACACTTATAGATGAAGTTTTTACTATTTATAAGTATGAAATAATAAAAGGCAAGTATACTTAACACTTTGGCCATCACAAGGCTCCTATAGGAAAAACCTTTGCCATCGAAGGCAAGGGCAGAGTGTTAAAGAATATGGCATCAAAAGAAAATCTACTGATTTTTTTTTACACTTGTGTTGATTTTTGGCCAATATCTCCATTTGTAGCTTGCAAGAAGTTACTCATTTTGTCGGCACGTCTCACAAATTGCTCATTAGTCGTCGATACCGCCTAGGTGGTGAGCAATAATTTAGAGTGACTAGAAGGAAATAATGTTAAGTTGTCCTGGGGTTCAGTGGTAGCATGGACGTGCAACTGAAAGGTTTTAGTTCAAGTCCCTGATGTGATGGGCACCGTCAGTCTTTAGGAAAAAATAATCTGATCTGAGATGGTAAATCGGAATAAGCTGACTGCCCAGGTGAGTTTTTTTTTTCTAAGGTTGTGTGAGCCTTCCTTCAAAAGAGACTCATGATTATGAATGTTCATTTTGACATTTAGAAAAAATGAAAGTTTTAACGGTATTTTTCAGGATGAATGACCTATTCATTGTAGTGTCTAAGGATGTAGTATACATAGAGAGAGATTTTCTTTTGGTCAGAACACAGTGTACTGATTATATGTTATTGTTGTATCGTAAAGAGCTCAGAGCCTGTGTACTTGAATAATAGTAATCGGATTTGAGTGCTATATAAATGCCATTATTATTGGTTGGTTTTATTTCATTATTTAAATGAGGTAGTTGGAGAATAATGTTTGGTAATGACGAGTTTTGCAACTTATGAGGTAGAATTCTCAGTAGTACAATTCATAATAACCATTGTACAATGGTTATTATGAATTGTACAACAGAGAATTCTGGTTCCCTTAACAAAAGCTTTATTCCTGACTTCTGCTCTATTTCAGGGTGTCTGAAATCTGCATCTCTGAAAACTTGATCCGCCATCTTGTCTATTGTCTTGAGCAGGTAAGGGTTATAGCCTTAAAGTCTGTATTGATTCTCGTCAATATAAATTGGCAGACTGCATATGATGAATTGATGAAGAAAAAAATAATTAAAAATTTTCAGTTGATCTCATTCTCTTCAGTTACAAAGGCGTTAATTTGACACTTATCTTCATAATTTTCAGTTTTAATATCTTTACTTATTTCCATCAAATCATTTTCAGTCTTTTTATTGTTTTTCTTAGAATGTTGAGTTTCAGTATTGTTCAGTGAAACTTTTATAACGAGTGTTCGAAAGGACTCTCGAATGTAATAAATTATTCAAGCTTCTATATGACTTTATTGCTCTTTTCAGGATTAGTAATAAAATGAAAATTATCCTCTTATTGAGCGACCTCAGTTACTGCATTATTCGAAACATTGAATTATCGTCTCAAAATTATTTGTTTGGCTTCCCTACAGGTTAGCAGGCCGCAGGTTCAACTGCAAGCTGTGCAATGTGTCACGAAATTACTTAACCAAAAGAGGTCAGTATTTCAGTGCACTAGAGGCGTGTGTTTTAGTCTGTCATGTCATGGTGCTTGGTCCTGGTGCCAAATTTAATTGGTTCAATTAACAGTTAAGAAGAGTTAGCGTATTAAGGTGCGCTCCTTGAGCAAATTTTGTATTATTGTACGTGTAAAAATGACAAACTGCTGGTTGGTTTGAATAGATGCGATTACTCTTTAAATAATCGTGACTGCTTGTATGATGAGGTACTTTAAGCCATAGAGAGAAAGTAGGTCATGTTCGTAAAAGTGTGTTCCTCTGTAATTTTAACTGCACTTAATATGTGCAAAATATGCAAGTTAAAAAGTTTTGTTCATAAACTATTGCAAATATGATATGCTTTATGTTGTCAAACCGACTGTATTTCTGTTTTAGGATCCAAATTTCAATATGCCCACTTAAGATTTGAACTCCTTAAGAAAGCATAGTGTGTTGATGCTTACTGCCCATACCAACTTCCTCTAGAGCTTCCTAAGCTTGACTGTAATGTTTATAATGGTGATAAATATCCATATCTGTCTCTTAGGATGGGAGGTTGGCCTATGTAAACTGTATTTTGTGCTTCAGTTTGTGTGTTGAGGGGGTGGGGGGGGGATATAAATTTACCTCAGAAGTACAAACAATCACATAACTTTGTAATAGTGTGACATTTACTCTTTTTATCCGGGCTACGAGTATACTCGTAACAAGGACCAGTCTGGGCTACGAGTATACTCGGAACAGCGATACGGTCACGTCAAAGAAGCTAGTTCTGCTTGTAATTACCAAAATATAATGCAAATACGGCGATGCTAGCTCTGTCTGAATATTTTAATTTTCCAATGAACAGTGGTTTCTTTGTTTTTGATGGGTGTAGAAGCTTGAAAGATGTCTCAAAAACGCACATTCACAACCGACGAAGTACTTTTTGAATTGGCGCTGGGTTGTGAGGGGGAATGATACTAATTTGATGAAAGTGACTCTGAAATAAGTGCCGTAAATTCTGTTGTGGATGATAAGAAACAGGACTTAGACTCAACTAATAGCGATTCAGATCATGGTGAAGGGGCCAGTACTGGAATTTGTGCTCGATGGGTAGGGCTAGATCTAGATCTATAAAATCCAATGGGACGTCGTGGGTGCGGCAATCAGGGTCAAGTTCAAGGGTGGAATACACTTCAAAATCTACTTTGTGCAATTAGTGTAATTCCTAACCACATACATTTAAAAAAACAACAACATTCAATTTCTAATATAACTGCCAAATTTCCTTAAAACCTTAGAGTAAATGTAAGAATTATAGTACTTTGAACTATACGCACTGACTTCCGACTCATACGGCGCGGCGGCCCCAGGACTGGTACAGAGTCCGTGGGGGTACGGCTAGGATAAAAAGAGTTAATGAGATCAAATTACTAATCTAGTGACTGTTTATTGTCTTACCTGTCAGACTAATAGTTTCAAAAGAGATGTTTTATTAATACAGTCCCCAGCAATTTCGATGATATACAAGTGGACTGTGTGCCTTTTTGGATGCACATATCTTTGTGAAAAGCTCTCCGCCGCCATGAACCGTAATTTACAGATCCAAACTTACTGATAAGTATCTTCAAGCCGTACTGAGGTTCTCATTTTTTTCACTTTACCCTGACAGTTTTGAAAGGAGCTGTTGCTGTGTAACCATACCTTCGTTCTTGTCTCCTCAGCTTTGTTGAAGCTTGCAGCTCAAGTCAGTTGGAAAATACTCTGTCGGAACTTCTCAAGAGACACCAAAAATTGACCCTCGAAGAAGAGGTAAGTTAACGATGAGATAAATTAATTTTCTTTGCTTTTGAAAGGTTAGCAGCTATGGGAATAGAAGTCATCAGGAGTCTATCTTTTGCATCATATTTATTTGTTAAACAGAGGTAAATTTTTCTTTTGATTTTGCTCTGTGATTTATTGCATTGTTGTTAGGTGCTCAGCATTTTATTTCACCAAACATTTTTTGTGAATTGTTTGTAGATCTAACAACTGGTTTTTATTTTATTTTTATCAGATGGTAAAATATGTTTGCAAGGCATCAGCGCAGCTTGTCCAGTGTTCTGACAGTGGGTAGGTTGATCTCATTCTGTCCATGTACACAATATTTCTCTTTATGAAGAATACATGTCAAAGATGCTCATTAAGCACTTTTTTCAGTGCCTCAGTCAAAAAAGTAATGATAGTATAAGACATTTGTGTAACACTCAACCCCAATTAGAAAACACAGGCTTTTAGGGCTTAACAAGTACAATAGCAATGCCAAATGTGTGTGATTAATCTAAAAACAGTAATGTCTTGAGCATTGGTCATAATTTAACGAAAACTCTATGTGTTCTTACTTTTGCAACAGCTTAAACACCTATGAAGTTCCTGGTGTCTTTTTCTACCTCACACAATGACAACGATATAAAAGAATAAAGCAGATTTTTGGACTTGTTAGTTTAATAGAAATAACTTTGTTTATGAGTTGTTTTTTTATGTACCAGGGTCTGCCAGGAGCTAAAGACTTTGGAAGTGGTAGATCTGATCTGGTCGTCGGTGCCGATGTGTACGAGTGATGACGAGAGGGAACCCTGGCTAGAACTCTTGGGTGCCCTGGCACAGTGCAAGAGGTGTATACATAGTGATAAAAATTACAGTCATAATCATAATCATTATCGTGACAATAATGTTTTACAGCAGAAAGAATACTGGAGACTTGAATTTAGTTGTTCGTATTAAATCAGATTATGATCCTAATCATAATAATAATATATGAATAGAGTAATAATGACAACAAAATGTTAAAACATACTTTTTCTCAACTGCATCCTTTCATGTGGACCAATACAAAAGGCACTTAAATTTGGCAAACACTCATGTGGTTAAAGTGTTTATGTCTCGCAGCCAGTTTCAGGGGAATCAGTTATTTCATTTTCTTGTAAAAAATATCTTTAGGGACTTTGATTGTTTGTACCCAAATCCATTGATATGTTATGTTAATTTTTGTCATCTTACATTCTCCAGCTCTTTTATTGTGTAGAGAGGCTTCTATCAACTGCCAGAACATATTGATATTTTAACCTTGTTTTGTCTTTCTTCAGCGTCCATCCGTTCATTCTGCGGGAAGGTTTCCTTGGTGTACTGCTTGGTCTCTTGAGCAACCTAATGTCTCCAAAGGTAAATGAGATGTTTGAAAATGTAGAAAGTGAAAGAAAGAGTCTTTTAGTTCTTGATAAATAGTTTTAGTTTTGTAGTAGAAAGGGCGAAAAGGGAAGCTTTTTCTTCACACTACATTGCAAGACTGTTTGTTTGGTACTTATAATATGTGAGGCATCACAGTGAAATCAGGCGCTCGTCAAAATAATGAAATGAAAGGTTTGGGCATTTTTTCTGCCTGTTTGGCAATTTTTTTCAAATTTTTGTTTATTAGCTCAACACTTTTTGTATCAATTAAAAAATACATTTTTGTGTGGATTTCACTGAAAAAGGTTGAGTAAAAATACAAATAATTTAAATTTTCAGTTTCCAATGGCTTTCAAACTTTGGAAATAACCAAAGTTTGCTGCCGTTTTCTTGCTAATTTTACCTGTGAGACCAGGTGACCCCCACTTTTTCAATTGCAAATATTTCGACTTCTATTCAAGATAGATTGGTATTTTTTTCATCAAAAGACGGGCAAATATACAAGCTTTAAGATGATAACAATAACGCCACATGCCCAAAAATTGACAAGCGTCTGATTCCGCCGTGTCATGACATGTATAAACAGAAGTGAAATGATTTGGAGACTATACGAGTGCTTAAAAGTGATGTCTAACTTTCAGGTAAGAAAAAATTAAATCTGATACAGATGACCAATTTCCACATTTTGTGCATCTTCTGGAAAACAACTATGGCTTTTTTGTCTACAATGGAGCCTGTAGAAGGAATGGTTTTTGAGTTTTAGTAACAAGTTTCACATTCTACTTCAACATTTTGTTTATATTTTTAGACCAAAACTTTTCTTTGTTCTCAGTGTCTGTACCGCATTGCCCTTCACTAATTGACCTTTATTATAATAATGATAATGATTATAATAATGTTGATAAGAATAATGATAATAACTTTTATATCATCCATTGCCATGCTCTACAGGATGCTCTATGCGCTTTACACAGCTATTACCAACCTTTATAATGTTTGATTTTTGTTTTACTTTCTCGTATGAATCAAACAACCACCTTCCCCTCCTTCCCCAGTGCCTGTACCACATGCTGTCCACCCTGCAGTGTCTGGTCTACGACAACAGGAAGAACAAGCGAGTCCTACTGGAACACAAGCTGCTTATCATCCTGAACGAGTAAGTGGCAGATGACTTCAGTTCTCTTCGATTTTTTAAGAAATTGCATACTATACAATTTGAATATATACATGTATTTATGTAACTCTGAAAAGGTCTGAGATAAATTCCTGCTCATGGTTGAAAGATGCATCTAATGTGATAAGTGTGTAATTTTCAGCTTTATTTTTCTCTTTATATTGAATTTTAATAAGTGTAATATGATTCAAATTCTATGTATGTGTAAACCTGCATATGTTTTTACCATTCCTGTACGACCAAGAACAATTTCGCACTGGGATAATAAAGTATCATCTTATCTTATGTAGAGGTTTTTTTAAACAGATTTAGTGAGTCTTGTGGCACCTGCAACACAAATAGGTCATATAAGTGCTGAAAATTAGAAGTGTTACTAGAGAGTAGCATTTTAAGAAAAGGAGGAAAGATACGGACGATGGATGGTGTAAAACTTTTACTAGAATTAAATTCTTATGTTCCTGTCTGTCTGTCTTACTTATTCCCTGTTATGGTTATTATGTTGAGATGCTTTTCCTTTCTCCCACAAACCTTGCGATGTATGATTTACTCAAAATTCAAATATTGGGACTTTCAGTATCTTGAGGTGTGAAGAGTTCCTCCTTTTTTTAAATGTTACTTTCAAGTAACACCTCTAATCTTCAGCATTGATATGACCTGTTAGTGTTGCAAGTGCTGTAAAATTTTTACTGCAAGTTGACTAAGTCAACTAAACTAGGTGGGTGGTTTGCGGGTGCTCTGGTGTGGTTTGCTTCTTCTTTCCTAACAAACATCTATCATCCTTATCTCCCCTTCTTCTTTTTTATGTTTGTTACTCTCTTGTAACACCTCTAATCTTCTGGCACTCATATGACCTTATGCAGTTGCGAGCGCCGTAAAACCTCTACTAAAACAAACAAACAAACTAAACTAGCTTTTTTTACTCAAGAAAAGACATACAAATTACTCAAAACTCAAGTATCTTTAACTGCCTATGTGATGTAGTGGTCAGACGTTTCACTGTTGGTGTGCAGGAGACACGAGCTCAATCCCGGGTTGGGGAGAAAATTTTTGTGGAGTATCTCAGTCTTTCTACTGAGATGTTGTATCCCTCTCAGCCTGGATTGGCCCTGACAGGCGAGGTTGGAAGCCCACCGCCTAAATGATTAAAATTTTGTTGGTGATGGTGTAAAAATACCTACTGTACTTTAAAGAAAGATTTTCAACGACCTCTTACGTGTGACTTTCAGTATGTTGGACCGCGGTCTGAAGAGCCCGACCTTGGAGCAGTGCCAGGAGCTACAGGCGGCCATGACCTTACAGCTGCCGCAACAGGAGGTCCTGGCAGGGGTACCCGCACACAGATCTGACGCTGTGGACAAAGCGTACGGGGCTAGACTATACCATTTCTTTCCCTATGTCTTTTTCTCTCTGTCTCTATCTTTCTTTTTTTCTGTCTGTTTGTCTCTTTCTCACTCCCCACCTGTCTGTCTGTGTCTGTCTGTCTGTCTGTCTGTCTGTCTGTCTGTCTGTCTGTCTGTCTCAATCTGTCTTTTTTACTCTCCCTCTCCCTCTCCCTCCCTCTCTCTCTCTTTCTCTCACTCTCTCTCTCTCTCTCTCTCTCTCTCTCTCTCTCTCTCCCTCTCCCTCCCTCCCTCCCTCCCTCCCTCCCTCTCCCTCCCTCCCTCCCTCCCTCCCTCCCTCTCCCTCCCTCCCTCCCTTCACATTCTTGTGGTTATCGTCATACTGTGTTCAGTGTAAAAATTAAAGAACAGATCTCTGTTGTCTTATTCACAAGCCTGCCAACTGTCCTGACGTTCTGATGTTATAACGTTGGACATCTCTGATTGAGTTTTTGAAAAAAGTTGGCAAGCCTGTATATATTTAATTACCAGGTATGTGTATGTGCTTTCTTCTTATGTTTCTCTTTGTGTTCTCAGGGTCTCACCTCACGTGACGTGGATAGAGAATTGCTTCAGGGTGGTGCTTACAGTGAGCATAAGGAATGCTTCCATAAACGATTTTCATATCTACCCAAACAGAATCTTTGTCAGGTAGTTTTTCTGGCAGCATTTTGTCTTCGAAATGTTCTCCATGTGTCTCAGTTTTTGTTTTAGAGTTTTTCGGCTCTTGCATCACAAATTGGTCATATTAATGCTGAAAATTAGAGGTGTGGCTAGAGAGCAACATACAAAGAAAAGGAAAAGGGGAGATAAGGATGAGAGATGTTTGATATGAAACAGATGTGTCTTGAGTGATCAAGGTTTTAAAAAATGTTTGATAAAGCTATGGCTTCTCAGACTTAATTTCAACACAATGATGAAAAATGTGTACAAAGTGTATTAGTTTTCTCCGAATTGTTTAAGATCATGAGGTTTGGAGTTGGAGCTTGAAGTTTGGGTGAAAATTAAATACTGTAATATTTTTTAAGTGAATTAGTTTGGAATGCAGTGATAGCGTAAATTTAAAAAAAACAATTATTTTAGTAGACATAATATATCATTGTTTTGTTTCTGAATACTTTTCTAATGCTGGTTTCAGATTGATGAAAATGAAGACAGGAAAAATTGATAGTCTCATTCTATTTCAATATCAGTGCCTGGTCGGAGGGAATCTTGTACGAACTGGACTGGGAACTTTTTAGTAACATCTTGCCGAACAAGAGCACAGTCAAGCCATGCCCTGGCCAAACAAATCTTTTCCTACGCAAAGAAATAAAGGGAAAGTGGGGACGCTTGCTTAAGCAGAAGATAAAGGTGAGTAAAAATGTGTTTCGTGCCATGATCTTGATACTTTCTTATGTGTCAAAGATGTTTCGAGCGGAGGTTCATTGATGGTCCCCAAGGACTCTAGGAGACAGTACACTACCCAAGAATCACAGCATTCTATCTGCTCAGCACCTAGTTTTGAGAAGTATGACACCAAAATTTTGAGTTTCATATATCAAGCTTGTTTGAAAACAATTCTTTGAATATCTTGATAACTTGGTTCTGACATCATGGTCTCAGTAACTCAAAATGTCCAAAAATGTTGGATAGAACTTTGTAATTCTAAGGTAGTGATTATGTATTGTGTGCTTACTTAACCGATTGATCAACGAAATTTACTGTCATTGCATCATGTAACCCAAAACAGAATTCATTGTACTTTCCATCCAGTTATGTGCTATTTCTTTGCCTGTATTAAATCATATTATTGTAGGCTGTTAAGACATTTTTGTAGGCTCAGATCTTTGCAAAATGAATAATAGTATCTTTTCAAGTTTGCCATGTAATCAGATTTTGTGTTTTTGGTTATCGTTAACTCTTTAAGCCCTGAGTTTTTTCTACAGTCACCTAAACCTAGTGCACTATGTCTCATTATAACCCCAAAAGCTTGCCTCCCACTTCTAAATAGCGGAAACAAAGGCTTACTCATTTCTAAAAAACTTGGTTCAGGAATAGTTCCGAAGAACAAGCAAAAACTAGCACTAAATTAAACGAAACAGTTGTCACTAGTACTGGACGTAGCGTATGATAGAGCTCAAGGTTATTACCGCTGGACGCTCCCAGAGAGTTAATAGATATCCAAGCAGTTGCTGTAAATATTTTAAAAAGGAAATATTTCATTCTCTAAGATTGGGGGGGGGAGAAAAAGACTTGAAATTTTTCTCAGGACACTGTAATGTCAGTATAAGGTAAAGGATTCTTTGACCCCCCCCCAAAACCTAAGTTGGTTTCGATATTTATGTGGCTTGCACTGTATGCTTCCCTGCAAGTTGAGATTGTTTTAGAATGCCATCAGGTCTGCTGAGATTGTACAGCACATAGAGCTTGTTGTTGAGTAGGACTTTGTGCTATACAAATATGAGTTAGCGTGGTGAAATCAGGCGCTCATCAAAATAATGAAATTGAAGAAATCGGCATTTTCCGCGAACTTTGCAATTTCTATTAAAATTTTGTTTTTTGGTCCAGCACCTCTTATATCCATTTAAGAACACATTTCTGTGTGGATTTTTCTGGGAAAAAAATTGATTAAAGGCACTAATAATGTAAATTTTGAGTTTCCAAAGACTCCAATATTATGGCGGCCTTTTTCTTGTTAATTTTACCTCTGAAACTAGGCGACACCTCCCCCCCCCCCCCCCCCCACCTCCTTTAATCACAAACATCTCCACTTCCATTCAGGATAGATGGCTGTTTTTTTTCGTCGAAGTAAGAAAAGTGAACTAATTTTAAGATGATTCCAATAACTCCACATGCCCAGTACTTGATGAGGGCCTGATTCCACTGCACCATGACACAAATGCTATTTCTTATTTGTTATTCTTTATATGCTGTCTCTGTAACTAAGAACATTGCTCCTATGGCTCTACAGCCTCCGTGCCTCAGTCTTGATTTTGAGAAGGTCTACGACAGCGATGAAGAGGAAGTTGATGATGATGATGCGGTACATCTTGCAAAAGAGAAAGGTGAGGAGATTGTGGAAAAAATTTCTTGATGGTGAGCTTTGAGGAAAGTGATAATCGTAACTTCTATGTTGTGGAAAATTGTACTCTGCAAATGTTTCTTATGCCTGCTAGCGGTCTCACTCATATATTTCCCTTGTGAGTGATCTTTCATGTTCTCTTGATATTACGTCTGTGTCTGTCTTGTTCTCTTTATCAGTTTCTGATCTTTTATAATCTACAGATGTACTCATATAGCTATCTCTCTGTCTTTCATGTTATCTTTATTAATTTGTCTGTCTTTCAACTTTTAGATGTTACCACTATCCAATACCCACAGGGGTGGCCTAATTGGAAAATATAAGTTTTTAGTGTGATAGTTGTCAAATTATGTCACAGGATGTTTGTATAAGTAATTGCTGAAATTATTAGTGTCTGTATTGCTTTTACAAACTCTTTCAGTGCTGATGCACATGTCAAATGTGGGTGGTTGGAAGACGCTCTGGTGTGATTTGCTCTTTATTTCCTATCAAACATCTGTAGTCCTTATCTCTCCTTTTTTGTGTGTCTTCTTACTCTCTTGTAACACCTCTCATCCTCGACACTTATATGACTAATTGTGTTGTAGTGCTGTAAAACTCTTACCAAAACAAAGTGAACTCATTCAAGTAATTATTTAGCCCCTTTGCTGTCTTATGATGTTTGGTGGTAAGTCAAGAAAAAATGAAATTTTTTCACTTTTTGCTGTTCAATGAATGTCATGGAATTGGCAAAATTTGCTGTTCCTAGTTGCCTATAAGATGTGACTCTAATCTGTCGGGATGGAGATTTAGCCCCAAGCACTGCATTGATTCATTCTTGGGGGAAAAAATGGCATATCGGTTCCGAATTTATTAGTATTATTTTACTGCTAGGTTTGCAAGCGATTTGTAAACACAGGTGATGTCTTGCAGATGAAAGTGTGTTCTCGCAATGCATAAACACAAAAATGTCATATAAAAGCAGGGATGCCAAATGTCAGTTTTTTCTGGGGGGTTTTCACTTGCAAAGGAAAGGGGAGAGGTAAGAGAGAATATGTTTTTGTTTGCTCATTTAAAAGCTTTACAAGGTTCGGTTTAAGTGAGATGTGATGCTCTGCTCATTTTCAGTTTTAAAAAAATAAATCATTTGGCATCCCTGTAAAAGGCAGCAAATTGCATTTTTTGACTGGGGATATAAGGACTGACGAAAGTGACACATTCAAAGACCTGAGATCCGAATATGGTTTAAGTGCGCCATATCTATAAAGCGAGTTCACTACACTTAACACTGAGATGATGAGACTGAGGTACTTGCAAATGGCCTAAGTGGAAAATTAGTGCTGACAGGAATGCCGCACACCCCTTGGCAAGGAAGGGCTTAAAATACGATTAGGAAAGACGCTTTTATTGCTTCCTGTAGAGGTGCCTATTTTATAATGGAATGATTGATCCATACATGAATTATTAACTATAGTTTATCATGCACATAATGAACATGCACATAACAGACAGATTTTCAGGTCTGTAATTTTTCCATATGCATGGTACATGTATATTCTTTGTATTTAAAAACCTTGATAACAAAATTCTTACTTAATGAAAAGATTTTGGCATCACACCAATTTCGCTATATACATCATTACATGTTAGACTGTATCCCTGTCAGGTCAATTCCACCTGTATCTTTATTTGTAGGTTCCTTTGCTGGCGTCCCACGGGTGCGCATCCCAAAGCCACACCTGTGTGACAGTGATGAAGAGAGCAGCGATGCGCTAGTCATTTACAGCAACAGTGATGACGAAGAGCCAGTGATTGACATGGAGTCTTTCTTGCGAGATAACAACTACCTGCAGGGCCAATGACCTCACCGCTTAGAGGTGCTGTGTGTGTGATTATGAGTGTGGTTTTTTTCGAGAGAGAGAGAGAGAGGGAAGGAGAGGGAGGGAGGAAGACAGAGAGAGAGAGTTTATACCTTGTTTACATTTGATGAATAAAAATGTAATACTGAAGGAGTGTTATCAAATATCTGATGAACATGATTTTACTTATACATGTAATTAGGCCATACATGAATTTTACTTGTATTTCAAGTGCTATGCTTAATTTTACATGCTTTATCCATTCGAGGGCTGAGTGGAATTATAATGGAAATGAGGCAGCTGGTTTCCAATATTGGGCTTTTTTTGTTTATCTGAATCTGTACCATTTGTCTTTTTTTTTCTCTTTACAAGTTTCAATCGAAATCTAGGAGAACATTTCTATTACTTTTTTCTTCACAAACTTTGAGAATGAAATGTTTCCTTTAAACACTGATAGGTATCACACCAAACTTGAAAAGCTACTTTTAATCATCTTATAAAGATCTGAACGCACAAAAACCTTCACGGCATACAATAATGTGATTTATTAATACAAACAGTGGAATAGTGCGTTACTAGATTAAAAGTACAATGAATGCTGTTGTGTTATATGATGCTGGGGCAATCAACCTTTATGATCAATTGGCTAAATAAGCACATGGTAAATGCTGTTTTTCAGAATCCTCTGAGTCAATCGATGAATCTTTTTTTTTTTTGTACATGTTTTACGACTTTCGCAATGACAAGGTCACCTGAGCGCACGGTACGTGTTAAACATTTTCAGTTAGTGGGAAATTTTGAATTTTACCCTGGTTGCGGCCGAAGCCTACTCTTATGGATTTTGGACCACCAAGGGATCTTTAACGTGCGCAACTTGCACATGGGACCTCTGAGATATTTCGCCCTTGTCTGAGAAGGCTAGGTCTTTCCTACCATAAGATCAGGGGTGTGGCTGAAAGACAGCAGTAAAGAGCCAAGGAGTAGCAGTAGAAAGGCTGCAGAAAGAGTCAGGAGCCCAGAGGAGGGTCAAAAGAGGTGAGGGGGTGGGGCAGAAAGTAGAAACGAAAGCAGACAACAGAACATTGTTAGAGAGTAGGAAAGGATGTGAAAGGAGAAAATTTTAGTTTAGAAAATTTTCCGTCACTCTCCAGATTTGAACTCCTGACCTATGGAATGAGAGGCTAACACCTTAAACTGTTGCCCACTAGAGCCCCCTGAATGAATCTCTGCTCCCAATGTCTTTTGAACATAAGACAGCATCGAGACGACTGTAGAAACATTTTTACCCCCCTTTTCCAACTGTCGATACATTTGTATAAATTGATCAACGACTTCCTGCTTTTCATTTTCAATACACTTTTGTCTTGTATATTTGTCTTCTCGGTGCTATTGGTAGCTTGTCATTTCCAAAACTCAGTTTTCTTGTTTTTTATTGTATCTTCTCAATGAAGAAAGATTGTGTCTTTTTCTTCCTGATTGAAATTGTATGACCAAATTATTTGTGTACAGTGGGAAAGGTATCCATTAGGCTTTGGAATACCTGCTTTGATTGGGTGCTGTTGTAAATATTTTATGCCTCTATCAGTATTTTGTGGGTGGTTTTTAGGATGCCTCTTGTCGATGCTGCTTCCTTACTTTCCCTTTTTTGTGTCTATCTATATTTTGTCTTGCCTTTTCCTGCTCCTCTGTATCTCAGACTTATAGACATAACTGACATCGTGTAAGAGGCGGGCTGCTTCGACCCTGATCTGTATCCGATGTGATACATTCCAGCTAGAAAGAGATACTGCGTAATCCACTTATATCAACAGCCGATGTACCAGCATTTTGACCTATTGACATATTTTCCAATTACGAAATTTTTCCTTAAGTATCTTCACTGAACAATTTCTCTTATATTGACTTTTTTTTGGCCCACTCTGCTTTTACAACATGCTTCCTGGGTACCAGGCGAAGCCCACGAACATCAATGGGGGAAAAAGCCATGCTAACGGTCAAGGCTTTAGTTTTTCACCAAGTCCGCAAACCCGCCAAGTAACCTTTATATAGACACACCAGGCCTTGGAAGGTCATTTAGGGCATATACAGCGTAGTCTCCAACACAGTACAGTGCCTCACTGTGTAGTGTAAGAATCAAGGGAAGGAACCAGCTTAAAATTTAAAAAGTTGTGTTATCTTTTTACCGCCGACCTCCCCTTGTTTTTCCTCTTTGTCTTTTATATTTTCAGGTATGGACATTTTTATATATCGACATCAAATCCTCTTCCTAAAGCATGTTGATATAAGCGGATTATACTGCACCGTACTAATAGAAAATGTCTTCCCCACCTTGGACTCAAACTCATGTTCCTTGAACTTGCCTCTGGTGACACCATCAGATAATTTAGGAGGCAGGCTGCTTCTGCGTTAGCTATTGGGGCCAATCATCGTTTCCTCACTTGGGAATCAAATCCACTCACTTTGTATGTGATGTAAAAGGCTCTTATGTTACACCACAGGCATAGATCTGGCCGCTTTTTTGCCTCTGCAAAATTTAGGTATTGCTTTTAATGAGAGGAAGTGTGAAAATTGTCTTTGTGTTCTGTCTTTGGGTCCTGTAGAGTCCCCCTACAGAACAAGTTGATGAAAATTACTCCTATATTTTTCTGGAAAGTGGATGAAAAGAATACATCTATGCTTAACTCTTGGCTTGATTTCTAATGCCTCAGAAGTTATTACATCAAAAAAGGGACTCTACCCTTTTTACCCCTGTGGAATAATTTCACGAATTGAAGGTGGGTCTGTGGACGTACAAGCCTCTCTTTTGTGGTTTATGTAGTCTTGTAACCAACTAGATCAAGAGCATTATACTTATAAAATCCGTGAAACAATGTGCGAGGGTGTGTTCTGCTTCTTATAAGATCTCTGTGAAGTGAACATTCTTTATCTACTTAATCTGCTGTGTGACTCAGGGAATGCTTGTTCAATGAGAAAGTGAAACTTTGTGCACATTTTAGAGAATACTTGTAGCTACTGTTTCCATTATGCATATTATCAAGATTCCCCTGCAGTTGGATATGATTTGAATAATTTATTACTTTTAAACCGTGTGGTTCATTTTTGTACACATTTTTTTGTTGAACTTGTTGATATACAATCAATTCCTCTTGCTCCCATGTTGCAATAAAAGAATTACATTTGAAAAGTTTTAATGAATTCTTTTGGGTTTTTTGTTTTAGTAGAGGTTTTACGGCGCTCGCAACTGCATAAGGTCATATGAGCGCCAAGGGGTGGATGTCACAGAGAAGTCCTTAGAGGGAATCAGACTTACTGTGCTCACCTCTCTAGATTCAACTGCACAAAGTCTGCTTCCACTGTCAAGGCACCCAGGATATAGCAGGTCCCTAGAGTGTGACAAACATTCAAAAGAAGTAGAGGAAAAATGATGATCGTGCATAAGGATTAGGAAAGAAAAAGCTGCAGTTCCCTGTTGGAATTCAGGCACAGTTATGAGCATGACATCGATGAATCAGTCCATTTACATTTCTACTGTGCATAAGAACAGGTTAATGTCCCCCTTTGGGAATAATGAATTCTTATGAGTGAGTGATTTGGGGATGCTACTTTTAGATGCTGCAATTTTTCAGTCAAATTTGTTTACTTCTTCTATATATGGATTATTGCGCTATATTTAAAGGGTTCCAAAACAACTAGTTTTTAGTTTATACATTTATCTTCAGCTTGGATATTTGTTTTAATAATAATGAATGGTACATGTACTGTACATAGTCTTTTATTACTTCCTTACAAAACTTACATGCCTGCAGACGTAACTATAGTTGAACCTTATTTGATAGCCACCTGTCCAAGACAATCATCTGCAATAACAACCACTTCCCACTTCCCCATTGCATTAATAAAAATTTGAGGCATCGTGGTGAAATCAGGCGCTCGCCAAAATAATGAAATCAAAGAAATCTGCTTTTTACATTTTTTTTTACTGATGGGCAATTTTTTTCCATAATTTTCTTTTTTTGGCTCAACACCTTTTATCTTTTTTTTATGTCCTTTTAAAAACATTTTTGTGTGGATTTATCTGAAAAACTGATTGAAGGCACAAAAATGAAACATTTTCAGTTTCTAAGGACTCTCAGGCGATGGAAGTTACCATACTCTGACGGCCATTTTCTAGCTAATTTTTCCTCTGAAACCAGGCTACCCTGACCTTCTTTAATGGCAAATATTTCGACTTCTATTCAACATAGACGGATATTTCTTTCCCTATCAGGAAGGCAAATGAACAGACTTAAAGATGATACCGATAACCCTATATGTCCAAAAATTTACATTGCCTGATTCCACAACATCGTGACTAAACAAAATTATAATGACACTGCCCAAGACATCCACCTGAGTAGGCTTGAAACAACGACTTGTCTCCTTGACAATGGGTGGCAGTCTTGGACAATGTTGTCTGCATTTTCATGTAATTGCACCTTTAAAAAAAACTTGGTAACGGCTGGAAGGAAAGCAATTAATGTAGATCTTAGTCTCCTATTTACCTTATGGGTGTGATGCTGGTCTATTGCAGTTGCAGGTTTCTTGTTTTGAGAAAGATGGAAGTGGGAAAATTCAGAAAATATTTTACTTACTCAATAATACTGTTAGAGCCTGACTCATCGTTGAAATTTCTTCATAGACGGTAAACTAAAAAAAACCTAAAATCCAGTTTCGAAAATCAGAAATAAACTACCATACGGTCGCTTTTAAGCACAATGGGGGCTATCCCGAAAAACGCTGTTTTGAGAAAAATCGAAGGTAAAGTGTTTAACCCTTGTTCAGTTTCTTTAAAAGACAAGGACAGTTTTCTCCATAACCAAACAAATACACAGACCAATTAAACCAAACTTCTCCTATCGGTAGGGCAATGCCCACTTTTGGTGCAGGTCAAGATTTTTGGAAACCCCAAAATCGGGGTTAGCCCACTTTTCCTTGAAAGCCACCAAACACCGTATCAAAATGTGTTCAGTCTCGTAACATGAAACAACTCGATGTCTCATCTTTTAAATCGGATATAAACTTCGTTCTCAGCTCTACGCCTGACACCTCTGTCGATCAATTCTCTTCAGTTCTGCGCAATGCATTGGACAAACATTCCCCTGTAGTCACTCGTAACATCTCACCAAGACCAGCATCTCCGTGGTTTACTCTCGAGATCAAAGAGGCCAAAAAACAACGAAGGAAAGCGGAGAGACAGCTTAGAAAGACAGGCCTCCACGTCCACAAACAGATTTTGGCAACTGAACGTAACAACGTCAACACCCTGATTGAAAACAACAAGAGACAATTCTATCTTAACAAATTTCAAAGTGCAAACTCCTGCAAGGAACTTTTTCGATTATCTGATCAATTATTAGGAAGGGAGAATTGTACACGGTTTCCACCTGAAACTGATAAAGAACTTTGTTGTAATTTTCTGCACTTTTTCAATGATAAAATTGAAAGAATAAGAACTGATTTAGACTCTGATATGTTAGATGTAAATACAAATATAGTTGTTGATGAAAATCTTGCAATTATGAACAAATCAAAATTGAGTGAATTTAAAGTGGTATCAGAGAAAGATGTCATTAAGTATATCAAAGAGTCCCCCGCTAAAACATGCGACTTAGACCCAATACCCACTTCATTGTTAGTTACGTGCATCGAAGATCTCGCACCATATGTTACTCGTTTTATTAATATGTCACTCACCACTGGAATCGTACCTGATCTTTTCAAATAAGCCATTGTAAAACCTTTACTTAAAAAATAAGGTCTTGATGAAAACGACATGAGAAATTTTAGGCCAGTTTCCAATCTAAACTTTTTATCAAAAATCCTGGAGAAAATCGTTTTGTGTCAAGTTCAACAACATCTAAAGGCCAATGACATGGAAGAACCTTTTCAATCTGCTTATAAAAGGCACCACAGTACGGAAACCGCTCTTTTAAAGGTATCATCAGATGTTTTAAATGAAATCGATAATAAAAAAAGTCTGTGTTTTGGTTCTGCTTGATTAGTCAGCGGCGTTCGATACCATCGACCACGAAATTTTACTAGAGAGATTGGAAAAGTCATTTCTACCATCAGGTACTGTTCTAATGTGGTTTAAATCATATCTAGACAATAGATTTATGTCAGTGAAAATTGGCAATGATGTGTCAGATAGGTTACCTCTAAAATACGGAGTTCCTCAGGGTTCGGTCCTTGGTCCTGTCATCTTTACAATGTACACGCAAAGTCTATCATCAATAATTTCTTTATATGCCCTCAATTACCATCTTTATGCAGACGATACACAGCTGTATGGATTCACTACAACTGCCAATGTACACAATCTCATAGATAGAATCGCCAGATGTATCAATGATATAAGAAAATGGATGTTCAAGAACAAATTAAAATTAAATGAGGATAAGACCGAAATATTATTTCTTCGTAGCAGCGCATGCAATGAAATCGACAATATCAGAATAAACATCAATGGCCACGAAATATCAACCCAAACTAAAATAAGAAATTTAGGTGTGGTGCTAGATCAAGATATGTCAATGAAATACCATGTATCCAATCTTTGTAAAAATCTATATCTCCAGCTGAAGAAAATAGGGAGCATTAGAAAATATCTATCTGTTGGTGTCACCAAAACTTTAATAACATCACTTATATTGTCAAGGATTGATTATTGCAATTCCTTACTGGCTGGTGTACCTGATGAACAGTTACAACAACTACAAAGAGTACAAAATATTGCTGCCAAAATAATTACTAAAAAACTCAAGCATGATCATGTGACTCCTATTTTAAAAGCATTACACTTGCTCCCAGTGAAAGAGCGTATCATATATAAAATCTGTTTAACTTGCTACAAGTGCTTAAATGATTTATCACCGGACTATCTAAAACAGCTTTTAACACCCTATGTGCCTCCTAGAACGCGCAGATCATCAAGTGACAAAACAACCCTTGTTAAGCCTAAAATAAATTACAAATCATATGGCCAACGCTCTTTTTCATATTTTGCCCCACTTGTTTAGAATAGGCTTCCAAAAACTATCAGAGAAGCAGAAAATCTAGAAATTTTAAAGAAGAAACTAAAATCATTTCTATTTTCATCATATTTCGATTAGACAGAATGCATCCAAGCTGTAGATCGTTGTGAGTTTGTATGTGCGTATGTGCATATGTACGTATGTGTGTATGTGAGTATGTATGTGTGTGTGGTGCGTGCGTGAGTGAATATGTGTTTGCATGAGTATGTAACACTATGTACCTTTAAAATTGATTTGTAAATCCATTATATGTATCATGTTAAGCGCATAGAGCTTTGCATAAGTGGATGTGCGCTATAAAAATGCAATCCATTATTATTATTATTCATATGTTTATCTAACCATAATATACATGTACATGTATTATGAAATATTGTTACTGAAACGGAAAGCAGAAGACGTAACATTGCTCCACCTTGTGTACCTGACAGTAAAAGGAGAAGAGAGTAAAAATAAGAAAAAAAATCTAATCAAGGGGTAATTTTTTTAAAGCTTGAGATAACTTTCAAGTAATTGGCACACTTGGTCCAACTGGATAAACGCAACAGCTTAGACTTAGATTCTTTGAAATTAGCTACCATATCTACAATTCAGAATTGGCCACGTGCTCGCTTTCACTCATTCACAAACTAGCACTCACACGCACACACGCACACTCGACTTGCGAAGATATAATATACTAGTAAACATGTACACTTTTTATTTCCCAAATCGCTGTTGAAGGCCTTCTTAAAATAAGGGCGTGTTCTATTATTATAAGGGACGTAATTACTGAGTTAAAATATTGTATTAAAAATGTTCGGTGATTGCCCCTGCAATCTTTGGTGGTGGGAGATTCTGTGGGTGGGAGTGGGAGTGAACATTTGTGTTGTCATATTGGCCTTTCTCGGCCAAGTTGAAAAATTCATACATTCAACTGAAAATTGTAACTGCTCTGTTGCCTGCATTTAACAAATTTAGCAGAAAGTGTACTTGTATTTCGGAAAACTTGTCAAACAGGCTATTACTGTTTCTACATTTTATTTGTAATACATGAAAATGAAATCAGAAACAGTGTGTCTGCATAATATAAAATACAGGTTAACTATTCTGCGCGTCGCTAGCTCACGTGGATTATTAACAAAAACTAGCTCCTGCTGCGAAGGGCTCTCGGGAAGGCAGAAGTTGAGGGAGGAAGACAAAAAGATTCGAGAATAGAAAGGCCTGAAAATATTAGATCCTTAACATTTAGGCCTAGGGCTGCGAGGTAGTCAAACAATGTGGAATGAGATATACATTGCTCTGGAAAATCCTCTGTGCCATCCAAACGGCTGACAAGATTTGATTGGCGACTACAACGATGATGATGATAATGAGGATGAGGATGGGGATGATGATGGATGAGTCGCGGTACCCAAACGGAACAGTTCGATAAGAACAAACGATTCTCCTCTAGTGAATCTTTGTCTTTGAATGTCTGTCAGAATGAACAGGTGTTTGTTCTTATTTTTTCCCTATAGTTTGTGCTGAACCTATGGCAATAATCACATTTTGTCACTTTCTTGAAAAAGGCAAATTAGCAGGTGGGGACCTTTTTCCTTTCTTTTTTTTTTCCTCTTCTCTTTTTGTATAATGCCCAATACTCCTGTTTGGCGGGGTTTGAATGTCTCAAAAAGATTTAGCCATTGCGTCGCGGTCAACCTCCACTTGCATCTGGCAAATTCAATAAGCGGAAGTTGAAACATGGCGTCGCCGGTAACACAGGTATGGCTCTTAGCCATCGGATTTGTCCTTTTTGTTCAAGTTTTAGGAGGGTGAGTAATTTATATTGTTTCAGAAATTAACTTATTCCGTGTAATGTATATTTCATCATCGAGAGTGGTTATTTAGTGTCTTTGTTTTGGCAATTTTAAAGTTTAATCAGAAGTGAAAGTGGAAACCTTTCACCGAGATGCGTGGTTCAATTCGATTGGTCGATTATTTACATGTGTACTCTTTTGATCGGATAGATAGAATTCCGGACTATGCGACTACTTTGACTTTGTCTTTATTCAACTTTGTTGTTTTTATTTGCTTGTTTTAAAACTGAACATTTTATTTTTTATTTGATTACACATGCTTCTCATGAGAAATGATTTATTTTGAAGCAGTAAAGTCGAAGCCCCCCTGAAACCCCCCTACTCTTGACTTTAACGAACGAAACTACAAAATAGCCGTTGCCGTTACAATTTACAACAACAGTAACAGTCTGATTACACAGATGATAAGTTGATACATAATTCTAAGATTTGAGATCTAATCATAATATATTGCTCCAGTTTCCACTCATTCTTATAACAACAATCTTATTCAAGATTCACTTAGACTCTTATGAAAATAATAGGTTACAGGTAGTGTCAATTGCCACCGAGTGACGCGGTGGCAATTGACAAAAATTGACGGCAAGATTGAAGAATACCGGACCAGCGGACTGACTTTGCCTATGTCTCAACCTTAGGAATTCATAATTTTCCCGTTTTTAATATCTCTCAATGAAGAATCTCGGACCGGTAGATCTAGATCTAGATCTATTCATTATAATTTTGTCAGGGAGGGGACCCCCCTGAAGCCCCCCCCCTGAATCTCCCCCCCTGAATCTCCCCCTTCCTCCACCCCAACCACCTGTCCCACCAACCCCACTTTCTCGCGCAATAATGTACGAGTGGAGTGGTCCGCTATTCTTCAATCTTCCCAAATTGACTCTTTGTCAATTGCCACAGAGTAAATTGGGAGCTCTTTTGCGTTGTTGGGGAGATTTAGCATGCTTGATCGAGTGCTCGGTGTTGTGCATTCGCCTCTCTGTCCCTCTGTGTGTGTGTGTTTGTTTACATTGTGTGTGTGTGTGTGTGTGTGTGAGTGTCTTTTCCTGACCCCCGTCCCCCGATTTCAGTTCCCCGATATAATGTGAATTTCTGCTTGAGTTTCAGTTTGTGTGCGTTTGTGACCTTCTACTTCTAGAATTGCCTGTGTTGGTTCTATACCAAAGTGTAGGCTAAGGCTAGCCTAGATCTAGGCCTACGTCTCATTGAAAACACGCCAAGTTGGTATCGTAGCTCTAGACTAGATGCTCGTCCAATGAAATTAGTTGAGAACAAATTGACCCATTAGACTCATTAGACACACATTATCATGTACAGATCTAATGCTAAAGATAGTGTTGTTTTCAGACTTGACACCGCTTCACTCTGTGGCAATTGTGAAGTCAATTTTTGTCAATTGCCACCGCGTCACTCGGTGGCAATTGACGCTACCAAAATAATAACATACATTATACTTTTACTTTTTTATCAGTCAGGAGTGCTTGGTATTCAATCCTACATCTTACACTTGACCTCATCTACCGCGGTCTGGCACATAGACTCTAGATCTAGAAATCTAGTAATACATAAGAGTAACTAACACTAACAACAGATGCAAACAACTTTACTGTAGTAGGGGCGGGCCTATCATACGACTTAGACTTTTTGTTAAATCATTAAATGAAATGTTTCACGATATAGTGGAATTAGGGGCTCGTTAATTTTTTGGCATGTGTTGTTATGGTTGCACCTTACAGCTTGTTCTTTTGTATTATATGGTTTGGTGAAAAAAGTACCCATCTATCTTGAATAAAGCTAGTTGTGATCGGGGAGCGTCCCCTGGTTTCAGATGTAAAATTAGCATAAAATGGGCTTCAAAGTTTAGATTCTAGTGACTTTTAAATCTTGAAAACCCTTGGAAAGTGCAAATTTATATTTTTTGGTGCCCTTTTTGGTCTTATAGTAAAATCCACAGAGAAAGGTTTTAAAAAATTGATTTAAAGGGTGTTGGGCCAAAAAACAAAAGTTCGGGGGCTCTTGTTGTCTAGAGGTTGCTGTGTTCCCCTCTCTTTCAATAAGTCCCAGGTTTGAAACCTGACTTTGACAGAAAATTTTCTGCTCTAAAATCTTCTCCTTTCACTTCCTTTCCTGCTCTCTATCCCTGTTCTGACTGCTTTTGTCTTCATTTTCTGTCCTCAGCCCCGCCCCTCCTCTGGGCTCTTGACTCTTTTTGCAGCCTCTCTACTTTCTACTGCCATTCTTTGGCCGATTCCTTCTTTGGCTCCTTACTGCTGTCTGTCAGCCACACCTTTGATCTTAGTGGGTGGTTGGTGGGTGCTCTGGTGTGGTTTGCTTCTTCTTTCCTATCAAACATCTATCATCCTTATCTCCCCTCCTTCTTTTTTATGTTTGTTACTTTCTTGTATCATAACTCCTCTAATCTTCTGGCGCTCATATATGCCTTTATATAGAGTTACGAGCGCTGTAAAGTCTCTACTAAAACAAACACTCCTGATCTTAGGGTAGGTAAGACTTAACACTTGGCCTTCTCGGATAAGGGCGAAAAATCTCTGTGGTCCGGTGTGTAAGTTTCATACGTTAATATCCCTTGGTGGTCCAAAATCGATAAGAGTAGGCTTCGGCCGCCACCTGGGCAAAATTCAAAATTAATTCCTACCAAACTAAAAATGTTTAATTAATTATGTCTCCTGCACGCTCACATGAACTTAGGCTAGGCAGTGGCGAGGGCCATGTTATAGAACACCTACCAAAACAAAAAACACAGAAAGTTCAATAGAACTAACCTGCGGGAAAATACTGGTATAAAATATTTGATTTCATTATTTTGATGAGCGCCTATTTTCGCTACGGTGCATATACTATGTGTGTGTCGTGAGCCTGAAGAAAGAGGTACCAAAAGTCACCCCAGTCCGTTTCGAGCTACAAGCTGAATGTAATTGCAAAAAAATCACTTTTTAGATCAAAATGTGTTTCCATGTGTGTAAGAAAAATCATAGTTCCACCATTTTTTAGTAATTCATTGATTTGACTTCTTAATACTCTATTTTGAATTATTTTGAGGGTAGGGTATTTTTTTTTTTCAATTATGAAAAGAACTGTTTTTAAAAGGTGTTAAAATCTTTTCTTGAATCATATTTTCTCTTCCCCACTATGTTTTACCATTGAATTCTAATCATGATATTGGTGTCAACTGAATGCCAAATTGGAAATGATTTTTCCATGAATAAATACATTAGAAACAATTGAATCATCCTTTTTTTTTTCAAGTTTAGTTTTTATTTGTCTATCTAAACTTAAAAGCTCATTTTCATAAAATGATATCTCCTACCTTGCAAAATGTGCTATATCTCAAAAACTACTTGAGACGTCTCAAAAATTCAGAAACCGCTGTCTTCAGCATTGAATTACCAACCGTCACTCAAAATGGTCAAAATTCGAGTTTTTGTACCTTTCTTCAAGTTCACACACATATGACATGACATATGACATATGATATATATGACATGGGAGGGGTTCAGCGGACTCACTGTTTCATCAGTTAGGGTCGTCATGTCATCATGGTAGACTACATCTAAGATATCTTCAATCTTCACTCTGTTTTTGAAGGGATGAAAATGAAACATTCTTGAACATTTAATTTGATTGTTTGTGTTTTTGTGACTTACCAGACCACCCCCTTGAATTTGTTTATTGGTTAAGGTGCAATGTTGTTGAGGAGCTTTTTAATATCCTTGCTGTTTTGGAAAAGGTCCAATAGTCTAAAGAAACCCCTAGACCCAACTGAAAAATTTGTCTTTTCTCCAGCTGTGTTTGTAAATTGGTTGAAAGTTGAAATACTTTTTTTTTTAGTTGTTGTATTTTTGAAGTTACTAGCAAGGGGTGGAACAAATATTGAGAATCTTCAATTGCCAACATAACCAAAATCTGTTCTTCTTGCCCTGTGCCAAAAGTTTTATTTGTGGGTGGTTGGTGGGGGCTCTGGTGTGGTTTGCTCCTTCTTCTATCAAACATCTGTCGTCCTTTAAATCTCTCCTCCTTCTTTTTTTTGTTGTTGTATGTTACGCTCTTGTAACAAATCTATTCTTTGGCACTTATATGACCTTATTATTGTGTTGCAAGTGCCGTAAAATGCTTACGAAAACTAAAACTAAAAGTTTTATTTGATTTTCATTTTTCAAAGAAGACGGTTGGCATCTGGAGCTTTTTATTATTTTTTTTTGAGCACTTCCATTTTGCCTGTCTTCCCACAAATAGGAGGGACTTCTACAAGATCCTTGGTGTGTCGAAATCAGCAGACACATATCAGATCAAAAGAGCATACAGAAAACAGGCAAAAGAGCTCCACCCAGATAAGAATAAAGATGACCCAGAGGCTGCAGAGAGGTTTCAAACTCTGGGTGCTGCATACGAGGTCAGTGTGTTTTGTGGGAGCGGGTACAGGGTTGTCTTTTATTTTTATGCTCTATGAAATTTCTAAATTCTAATCATTGACAGTTAATCTCTTTATCTCTTGGGGTGTGTGTGTGGGGGGGGGGGGGGGGGGGTTCCTGACTATGCCAGGACCCTCTTTTTGTACAAAATCTGAATGTGACACATATATATATATATGTCACTAAATTAGTCATTAAATCAAAAGAAATGAACCAAAATATTTTGATAATTCTTCATCTAATGAAAGAACTACTGGTAGAAGAGACATGTTTTCACTAGTTTTCCGCCATTGCCAAATACTTATAGATTATAATACAATTTCAAAATTGTCGTAAAGGAATGTGCCCAAGCTGCTGATTTTTTCCGTTTTGCCAAATTATCTTTTCAAGTATTAAAGTCAGTAGCTTGGGGGTCTCTCGTGGCCTAGAGGTTAAGGTGTTGGCCTCTCATTCAAAGGTCCCGGGTTCGAATCCGGGTAGCGACCGAAAAATTTTCTTCTCTAAAATTGTCTTCTTTCACCTCCTTTCCTGCTCTCTTGCAATGTTCTGTCGTCTGCTTTCGTCTCTTCTTTCTGCCCCCACCCCCTCACCTCCTTTGCCAGCCTTTCTACTGCTATGCCTTGGCTCCTTCTTACTACTGTCTTTCAGCCAAACCCCTGATCTTCTGGTAGGAAAGATCTATACCTAGCCTTCTCGGACAAGGACGAAAAATCTCGGAGGGCCCATGTGCAAGTTGCGCACGTTAAAGATCCCTTGGTGGTCTAAAATCGATAAGAGTAGGCCTCGGCTGCCACCCAGGCAAAATTCAAAATTTCCTATCGACTGAAACAGTTTAAGGTGTCCAACACGCTCATATGACCTTATGCAGTTGCGAGCGCCGTAAAATACTTACCCCCCAAAAAAAAGTCAGTAGCTTGTTTCTTTCAAGTCACACTTACCTGTTCTTTGTAGGTGCTGTCGGACCCAGAAAAACGTAAGATCTATGATCAACATGGTGAGGAAGGACTCAAGCAAGGAGATATGAGAGGAGATCCATTCTCAAGGTTTGTTCTTTAAAATACTCACTCTGATATTTTTCTGAGAGCAGGATTATCAGAATAAGGCTTCTTTGAGAACTGGATAGTGTACATCTTCTTTGGGATGATGCTCTTCTGGAAATTTCTAGGTTCCAGAGAAAGGGGCTATGCTTCTTGTATGTGATCTGTCATCTTTTCATTTTGCTTTTGATTCAATAAGTTTCTAGAAGTGTGTTCCACTCTGGATGTCCTCTTTGTCGTATTATCTCTCTCTCTCTGCTCAATTGAAATTGTATTTACACTAGTTAGAGTTATTTATCTTTTTAATATCCCTTTGATCCCCTCTATTTCTGAGATGAATAAACGTTTATTTTATTGCACTACTTTTGTCAGATGACTGAAGATAGAATCCTAATCATGCTGTTTTCTTGGATTAAATGAAGGGATGATATGTACTTGGGTGCCAGTCATTCTGAACTTGCTTTTAGAATGCTCCCCCCTCCTTTATGAGATTTAATGTTTTGTCCTTTGTTCGGGGCATCTAGTTTATTGTAATTTTGTATGCTCTCATTCCTACAGTTTTTTCGGAGACTTTGGATTTGGCTTTGGTGGTATGAGGGAGCAGGACAGGGAGGTTCCCCGTGGTGGTGATGTTGTCCTGGACCTCGATGTCTCGCTGGAAGAGCTGTACAACGGAAACTTTGTGGAGGTGAACAACATGGTTGTTGTAATGTTGTCTGTGGAAGATATGAAGCAGGCCTTCTGTATCTATGGGGGTGATTGTATTTAGTACTTACTGTGAGAGTTAGAAGACAGGGCAGCTAACGTCGCTGCTACATTATTAGAGGAAAGCCCTTCCCTGCCACAATGTTTTACATCAGATGTAATAAATTCCTTGTATCACGGACTAATTTCAGATATTTGATTGTGGCAAATCCTTTGATTGTGATGCGGATTGACTTTACTTTATAATGGGATTAATAAAAAAAAAATTTTGGTCACTTTATATGACTGTTACAGGTGTTACGGTACAAACCTGTTGCAAAACCAGCCAAGGGCAAGCGAAAGTGCAACTGCCGAACAGAGATGGTGACCCAGCAACTGGGACCGGGACGTTTCTCCATGACACAGCAGCAAGTTTGTGATGAGTGTCCCAACATCAGGTGAGTCATGGCCACGCCCTTGAAATTTTGAACGTTTTAATATAGTGAGAAGGCTTTTCTTCTGGAGGGTGCTTAGATTTTCATATCTAGTCAAAATTTACGTTCTTTTCTAAATGCTGAAAAATTGAAAAGAAAGCTATGTTGCTAGTTTTTTTTTAATATGTAGAAACTCTTAGACAAGAGTTGCTAGGAGCAACTTAGTATTTGCTTGCTAATTTTTGTCTCCTTATTTCCAAGTGATGTTGACATTTTTTAGTGATGATGTTTCTATTAGTATTGAAAACGGGGACTTGCTCTAGATTTGAGGTTATGTCTGGCTTTTTTGTTTCTTATTTTATTTAACGCTTTTGCCTTCTTTTGTCAGATTTGTGCCAGAAGAAAAATTGCTAGAAATAGAAATTGAGCCTGGCATGCGAGATGGACAGGAGTACCCCTTTGTTGCCGAAGGTGAGTCTGTTTGTGTTAGTGAGAGTAAGAAGAAGAGAACAATGTTTGCTTTAGTGCTCAGCCCATCGAAGCTGTTTGATTTGATAACTTTGGTGTATGCTGCAATGCAGTATTCTGTGCACTGTTTTATGCTTGTAATATTATCACAGGATTTTATTGTACTTCCTTTAATTCTTTAGAAGTGTTTGTATAAAGATGCCCAGCCTATAAGGCTGCAGTCTAAACCCATGGAGTGGAATGATAGTAATGATTATGACGACGGGGAAGGTAGATGTTCCAAAATCTTGGTGCTGGTATGTACTCACAATAAAAATGGCCTAGTTTTTGGCATTGCATCTGGGTCTCCAATTTAAATCTTGGAGTTATCCTGCCTTTAACTTTCAATTCTTTTTAATTAATGGAACTTTACTAAAATGATTCACTGACCCTTTTTATTTTCCAGACAAGGAAGTCTTAAATTGGTTGAGCTCTGTGTTTGACTTACATTTTATGTTTGTGTTCTGAAGTGCATGTTTGACTGAAAGGGATAGTAAAATAGACTCCATGAGGATACTTAAACTTAATTAAGTGTGTATTTATACGTCTCATTTTCATATGTTTGTTTTGTGGATGGTTGGCAGATGGCGATGCTCTATTGTGATATGCCCTTTCTGTTCTTTTCAAACACCTATCATACTTATCTCTCCGCCTTCTTTTCTTTGCCTGTTACTCTATAATTACACCTGTATTCTTTGGTGTTTATATATAATGTATTTGTATTGCAATCTCTAACTAAAACTAAAACTTATATTTGTTTGTTTCAGGCGAGCCTCACATAGATGGTGAGCCTGGTGATCTGAGATTTACTATCAGACAAGTCAAGTAAGTGTGTGTGTGTGTGTATTTTTTCATTTGTGACCAATGGCATTTATTCTAAATTGTTCACAGTGTCTATGGTGTAGTGGAAAGATACTAAGATGTCACAAACCGGAGACTTGAGTTTGATTCCTGAGTAGAGAGGAGTTTTTATATAGTATTTCAGTCTTTCTGCAGAGATGTTGTCTCCCTCTCTGTCTGGGTTGGTGGTTCTGACAAGAGGGCTGCAACCTGCTTCTTAAATGATCTAAACTGTGTTGATGAGGAAGTAAAAAGACCAACATTTTTCTTGTTCTCAAAGTTGTTTGTGTGGGATCTAGAGGGTGCGCCGTTAGCTCAGTCGGTATTATTCTGGACTACAGAGTGGAGGCCCAAGTTCGAATTCCCCAAAAGGGCATTCTGAACTTTGTGGGAGGTTTTTTAAGGCTCTCCACCCTTTATGCTCTGTACCATTAGAGTTAATCGTTAGAATAGTAGGTTTTACCTCTTAAATAACCTTTGTGTGTTGAAAAGAGCATTAAATCTGTACAATTTTTCAATTTTTGGAGTTTCTGAAAGGGTTTGATCTGTTCTTTTATTTGTTACTTCCATCCTGGAAGGTGGTTGGCGGGTGCTCTGGTGTGGGTTTGCTTCTTCTTTTCTCTCACACGTCTACCGTCCTTATCTCTATCAATATCTCTCCTTTTTCTTTTTTGTGTTTGTTACTCTCTTGTAACATCTCTAATCTTCTGCACTTATATGACCTTATTGTATTGTAAGTGCCATAAAACACTTACGAAAACTAAAATTGCCATCCTGATTGTTCCTGGGGAAACGTTACTCTTTTTTTTTCGTGTGCTATTTTTATAAATCCAGAGCCTTTGCATGTTTAACTATTTACATTTGTAATCAGCCAGTGTCTGCGTCCATGAGCAATTACAAATTTATAGTGGAATGAAACACAATATTATTAGAACTGCATGTAGTGTGTTTACCTCTATTTTGTTCAAATTAAATCTGTACCTTGTCAGTTTTGACAGTAGTGTATTTTTCTATCTTTAATGATTTTCACACTCTTGCAAAATGTGGATTCTCAGTTAAATGGTGAGGTTTTGTGGATTTTATTGATGTATCTTTATCCATGGTGATGATATTGTGCTGCATTCTAAGTGAAGCATACAATTTCTTTTCCTGTATGGGTAATTAATGGGTGCTAGGAGAAGGTTCTTTTTTTTTCTCCCTTTAATTGTTTCTGCCCTTCTTACTTTTCCCTGTAGGCCTACTTAATGACTGTAAATGTGTGGGTGTGCTTTTGGTTACCCAAAACAGACATCTTTTTCACGCTTCTTTACATTTCTGCAGGCATCCTAGATTTGAGCGCAGAGGTGATGATCTCTTTACAAATGTGACTGTGGTCTTGGCTGATGCTCTGACAGGATTTGAGATGGACATTAAACATTTAGATGGACACAAGGTACAGTAGAAATTGCCCAAGGTGGCCACCCATTGTCGAGGAGAAAAATGGTTGTCATAGAGACAGGTGGCAGTCTTGGACAGTGTCATTATAACGTAGAAAAAAATTATTGTCATTGGGGGTGGGTGGGGGTATGGACATTTGTACAAGTGGTCGCCTTGAACAGGTGTTGGTTAGAACAGGTTCAACTGTATTTGGCTCACCTTCTATTGCATAATTAATTCTTTATATAGTTTTTGGATTTGTAGGGTTTTAAGTGACTTGTGACATTGATTTAAATCTATGCACAGTATAAGTGAACCTGAGTTGCTTGGTGAAGTTTCTATAGCATTCTTGTGTTATATGCTGGGAAATAGCAAGATTAAACAGACAGAAGCAGCAGAAGAAGAAAAAAAAGTAAGACTTACCCATGAGTTCAGACATAATCGTTATGATTAGGATGACAGTTAATGAACCAGACCAGGAATAGTGAGACTGCAGGTTCGGGGGTTCAATCTTCAGCCTGGTCCGACGTTGTGTTCTTGGGAAAGGCACTTTACACGAATTTCCCACTTGGCTGGATCCTTTCGGGAATGGACATTGTTTAACTCGCCTCTTCAGTAACCTAATAGTGTTGATATGGGCATTAAATCTATGCAAGAAGTCAAAAATAATCATGCTGAAGAGGATGACTCTGTGTTGTATTCTGTGGGCAGGTCCACATAGTGAGGGATAAAATCACCTGGCCGGGCGCCCGCATGCGCAAGCCTAACGAGGGGATGCCCAACTACGAGAACAACAATGTCAAAGGCTCTCTGTTCATCACTTTTGACATCGAGTTCCCGAAAGGAACCTTGTCGGAGGAGGACAAAAAAGGTGATATATCTGTTGTTGAAGTAGTTTCAACCCCCCCCCCCCCCCCCCCCACCCTCCTTTAAAAAAAAAAGTAGTGTAATTATCAGGGCTTCCAGTCTTCCGCAATATTGCGGATTTCGCAAATTAGCAGAATTCCGCAAACGGAAAAATTTCCGTAAAAATTTGTGCCAAAAAAATTATTTTCAAAAATGCGAAATAAAAAATGTACGTTATTACCAGTAGTCAACAATAACCAACCCATACCGGAAGTGCTCTTTTATTTGAAAGTATAGACAGTACCTTTCAATTTCACTTTCTAAAGCTCAAGAATCAGAGCACCAGCTCTGTAAACAAGAGGAAGAAATGACGATTGTGGTTCTATCGATCTTGGGCCTTCCAAGAAAAGAAAACTCTAAAGAGAGCTTGATTTTTTTTTACCAGACTTGTTTATTTGTAAGTATTGTTGTGGATTTAAGTTGATATAAGCTGTCCTGTTATTTAGATCTAGATCAAGTCAAGCTGTTAAACTGGATTCTGAATCTAGATCTAGATCTACACCTTATGATGATTATGGTGCAAACCAACACAAGCAGAAAAAAGTTGAACATTAACTGTCAAGTTTTATAGATTTAGTTGTGGATGTACAGTATCGGTACAAGGGAGAAAGCATGGCTTTGGATTTGGAAATATATGGATTAACACAAGCAGAAAATTATGTAGATCTAGATCTAGGCCTATGAAAGGTATGTTTTTTTTCTTACATATTTTCTTATTAAATTTAGGCTTGAATAGCCAGAAATGGCATACTTCGGATGCCCTGAAACCGAAAATTCTCAAACGTAAAGGGGACGCTGTCCCCCTTCAACCCCCTGCCAGGGCTCTGCCCTGAACCCAAAAATCCTCGGAAAATGACATCAGCTGCTGGGAGCTCTGAATTATAGCAAATTGTATAAATTGTGCACCTCCTTGTACTAAGCTTTTTCCCCCCCCTCAAAATCTATAATAAAACAGAAAATGGAAGGTGTAGAAGTCACTTTAAAAAAAAAAGAAAGTTCTGTGGTTACTAGAAATTTCATGTTTTGAACATTTTAGAGTGCATAATATAAGGATTTTTCTAGTGAATGGAAAGGCATTTTAAATCTGTTCTGCTAGTTATGATATGTAACACGATTTTGTAGCTTAATTTTTAGAGAATTACACCCTGCCCTTGGTTCTGACAATAAAAATGTGGATATTTTATTAATTTTTTATTTTGAAAGGCGGAATGTGAAATTGTGGCTTAAGACTAGAAAAAAGGACACTGATTATATATGCAGTGAAAACTTGTGTATGGTGGAGTGAGGAAAATGACTGACTGAATTCAATTAGGTCACCTGTGTATTGACAACTGATCGCTAGAAGTGAATATATCCACTATTCACAATTTTGCGAAAAATGAGTTTGAAATTTAGAGGATTCTGAAATCAGTCTATCATAGCCAAAAAAGATACATTAACATACCTGGATACTGGATTCAGTTACGGCGTAGATATTTACCGAGATAAAAGAGCGGCTTAAAATCTCACAACCCCTATTGTTTACTCTGATATGTTGTGGATGTTGTCACTTCTTGTGTTCAGCTATGAATATTTGTTTTTGGTACGTTAAGGATTGAATTATGGATTAAACATGACTGAAACTGACCTGCTTTTATTGCCATTTTCCTGGAAAAGATAAAGATAAAATCAATGTTCTTGATTCTAAAAGCATTCGTTCATTTTGTGTCCCCAGGAATACGAGAAATACTGAAGCAAACGTCAAAACAGAGCGTGTACAATGGCTTACAAGGATACTAGAACTTAGAGCTGTGTTATGTAAATTATTTTGCCTGGTCTGGGAGTGATAGCTGACATGAGCAAAGAGTCATGAATGATGCCTGTGAATGTCTTTTGCTGAATGGAGACGGAGAACTTTCCAAGGGGGTTATTTTTTTCTTATCATGAAAATATTAATGGTTGCCATTCCTGTTTAATTGTTTTCACTCTTGTTGTTTTATTATTGCTTTCGTCTGATTTTGAATGTGGGGATTAAAAATCATTTGGGGGGGGGGGGGGGGGGTTGTGTTTAAAAGGGGAGGTTGGGAAAAGGCAGAATATCAAACAGTTACCTTTTAACTCCCCATCATTGATAGAAAATATTTTAGTTAATAAGTACTGTAGTGCTCTGATTTCAAAAGTGAAGCAGTTTTAAATTTGCCTTTCCAATATAATCTTGCCTGAAATTTTGAACAAAGTTTCAAGTAAAGGGCATTGCGACTTATGTTTTTCCCAGACATTGATGTATCAAAGATTACATCCAATTTGTTTCTATCCCACCTAAGTCTGCAATTGCAGTACATGAGTATGTTTGTTTTAGTGCTGATGACATCGTTGCACATTCAGTTTATGGCTCTTTCCTAATGATTCAATATATACTTTCCCCCCCTTTCCTCGATTTAAACGCATTGTTCTCATTTTTCATGATATGATTATTCTATGCCATTGAAACACTGGCAACAAAAATTTGTCTCAGATAGGGATGTGGGTTTCGCCTACGGTCTAATGATATTTTGCAATCCAAATTACTGTATGACACGGATAGCTCAAATTTGTCAGGACTGGCCTTTGTAGTTTGAAGGATATCTTACGAAGATAAAGAAGGAAAAGAAATCATGCATCCATCGAACTATGCCTGCGGTCCCGTTTTTGAGTCTTCTGTGTTCGAACTATCCATGTTATACTGTATGATTTTTTAGTACTCTTTTTGAAGTGCATCACTTTGGTTTGAATTCTAGAGGCTTAGCATTTGTTTTTGTGCCATTACCCAAATCAGCAATATGCTTTCTTTGAGAGGGACATTTTATATGAGGACACTGAACAATTGGTGTTGTCCTAAGTGTGTGTATGATGAGGTATTTTAGACATTATCAAGGGTTAACAGTTTTGTATTTTGATGCGGCAGTGTGTAGGATTAGGATTTATGCCTTTTTTTTCTTCTGTTTGCTGTGAAGAAAGACATCTGATTCTGTGCTGCCAATATACCAATAAGTTGATCTATGAAAAGACTTTAAAAGGTTGTGGGTTTACAAACAAAGTACAAAGTATTTCGTATGCATGTGTTTGTGTGTATGGTGTGTGTGTGCCATGAATATTGCAAGTTCACCAGAACTTTTAATGAAAGAGGACTTTAGACCACCATGGTTACCAGTGCCTGTAACGGATGAGGAACTGGAGGACATATATGTGAATAAAGAGGAATCGTGAGAGTCGGCGAGAAAGAGAGAGAGGAATATGTCTCTTTTGTTGTGTCCCTTTTCTGCGTATTGGTTTGTATGGGTGTGTGTTTACATCAACGATTTTACTTAAAAAATTATTTTTTGGTAACCTCAAATGGGATTCTGATAGGAATTTCATCATGTGTGTGCCAATTGAATGCAAAATATCAACGACATAGCAAGCCACGGGAAATTGTGAAATGAATTTACCTGAATGTCTTTGTGCTTTTACAAAATGTTTCTGTAAAAGGAAGCTGGTGGTTAAACCGTGCAGCTGGTAGGTCCATTTTCTCTTTCACTCTGTTGATTCTGTTTGTCACTGTCTACCTTGATTTTTCCATGGAATAGATGATCGTTATCTTGATGTGGTTCTTTTCTAAAACTAAGTCACCAACAAAAAAAAGGTTGTATAGAGCAGCTGAGTAATCAATTTTTCTTTCTTTTAAAAGATTTTGGCCATGTGAAGTTTGTGGCTTATAAGTCCATTTGTACTCTGTTCTGATCAGAGAATGTGCAATTTTATATAATGTCAATGTGTGTTTGAGTGTTGTTTCTGAGTAAGTAGGATGTAAAATTTTACTTCTTAAATTATGCTCCTGATCTAAATGACTTCTCTGTATTACAAACATTCAAGGTTTTTTGTGGGTTTTTTTTTTAATTGCTAGTTTTGCTCAGTATAATATGAAGTAGTAGGCACTGTTCTGTTACGACAGACACTAGTGTTTGTGATGTGTTTTCCTCCAATTTCTGTATTGTGATTTTGCCGTATGCGGTCAATTAGGCCAACGTGTGCCAGAAAATGTTGGTTGCAGTGAGTGCTGGGAGCCGACTGGAGTTCTATACTTGGTTACGTCGTCTTGCGTCTCCGTCAGTGTGAAGTGTGAATTTGATAAACAATCAACTATTTTACCTCTTTGAACACTGTAGAACAGCTTTTGAAATATTATTCTTTTAATCTTTGTCGTTTGACATATGAATAACTGGGCCACATGATAAAAACATATTCTGGGCTTTCAAGAATTTGAGCATTAAAGTCAATGCCTCCTAAAGACAACATCAGTCTGTTTTTTTCTTTACCATGGCATAGATGTAGTATGTAAGGGGAGACTTTCAGTCATTTTTTAAATTGAATTCTTAGTTGTGTAACATGATGCCTTGAAAAACTTCTGCAGGTTATTTTTGTAAAAGAAGATTATGTAATGATTGTCTGCAGACAGTTTTGAGTCAAATGATAGACCACTGAATAGTTTGTCATGTGTTTGATGTTTGATATGAGTTTTCTCCCCTTACTTTCTTTGTGTCCAAAGCTTAGCATGCTCTTACATCCGTTATAATTTAAGCTTGACATCTTTACAATTGATGAATTTTGTAAAGGTTTTATTCAGGGGAAGTCTTTGTTGTTCAAATGCTAAGCAGAGGGCTAGAGGTGACTATGTCCACATTCCTTGTTTTGAGAAAAATTGATTTTTAGGGCATTGTAAGATGATAGATGACTCTTTGACATAGGCACACTGGGAACTGCGATCGTGGCAAAACTACTGGGCACATTGGTTTGATATTTACAGAAAAAATGCTGTGTCATTTAGATGCCCCCATTATGCTGTTTTTCACAAATGGCCAAAATGGACATGGTTGCTTCTGGTTCTCGGCCCACGAAACATGTGACCAGCAACCGGTGCTGTAAGTGTGGTGGTAGAATCTGTTTTATTTATTTGCTCCACATGCATTGCCTGTCGCTTCTCTCATCCTGTTCTAGGAGTTCTCTTGTCCTGTCTGCCCTCTTTGTTTCTTTTGTTTTATAAGATGTTGAGTACATAAGTATTGTCCCCTTCATGTATATTGTATATGTTAGAACTGATTATTTGTCTCATTCTCATACTTTTCACCGTTCTTGATTTGTTCTTCCGACTTCTACTTCGTTTTGTTACCTTTATGCTCGTGAATGTCTTGGCCAAAGATGCCAATGCTTTTTTCCCCATCTTGCTGAAGACAGCTACTCTTCCCTTCAATAAAAATTCTACTCTTCACACATTTCTTTTGTTTAAAATTCAAAGCAGTTCTTTTACAAGTACAAGGGCAACCTTTTTCCAAAAGTGTTTTAGACTTCTTTTTACCGATAGTTTTGGACGCTAATGAATCCACTTAGAAGAGAAGCTGGTTCTTCGTATTTGTACCGGAAATTGTTATTGAACACTGTATTGTGCATTGTAACAATCATGTTCACCCCTGCGAGAATGCATTACATTACACGGAGAGAACTCATTACATTTCAAACCTTACCTCACGGTTTTCCTCCCGTAGCAACTGAAATGAATGTTCTTTAGTCTTGGTTCACACCAGTGCTTGCCAACCTGGTCAACATGACATGGCCTAGACGTGGGTGAATTGGTATGTTTTGTGTTTTGGTGGGTGGTGTGGGTCACCGGGTCCCCCGAGTAGTGACAGTTATCAGATTTAATGCCCTGCTGGGAAATACATGTATGTATGTAGATGAGCTGTGGGTTGTTGGAGGGCGCCACTGGTATATGCTACTTCTTTACTTTACCTCTGTTGTTTCTGTCTGTCTGTCTGTCTGTCTGTCTGTCTCTCTTACTTTTCCCAGCGCTTGATGACCATTATTGTGTGTATGTGCTTCTCTTTACTCCAACAAATAAACACATGTAAGTGGGCAGAATGAAAATTGTAACCGGTTAAAAGTAGCAAAAGTGGGCGCTGGCTAGAAAAAGGTTGACAAGCACTGGTTTGTACAGTGTGCTATTCGAAGTTACTTAATGACAACTCATGACTCTCTTCTTTGTCTCTCTTCCATCCGTGCTGGTGGATTCTTTTATTTTGTTTGGTCGTCTTTTTTCCCTGGGTTTCTCATGCTGTTTCTTCTTTTGGACATGTTCAGTTTCTCACGCTATGGAGATTATGTTATATGATCAATACCATTTTGGTGTTTGAAAATAAATATTCCTATACATGATGTTCTGATGTAGATTTCTGTTTTTTTTAAAGTTAAATTGTGTTTTAAATTATAGTTATTTTGAGTGTTTGCTCTTTCTTCCCTATCAATCAAACATCAATCTGCCTTCAGATTCTGTCCTCCTTTTATTTTTATTATGTTACTCCCCTGTAGCACCTCTAATCTTCAGCACGTATATTATGACCTATATGTGTAAAACTTTTACTAACACTTTTTAAAAACGCTCGTAAGCAGTGCTGCTGACTGAAGGTGTCTTTAGGCCATTCCCAAAGAGCTGTCCCTGTCGTTTTATGCAAGAAAAATTATGAAATTATGCAAACTGATCCCAAACATGTGAAATTATGCGATTCTGTTAATTTTAACAAAGAATGATCCAGGAAAATAATCAGAAATTATGCAAAAATGATCAAATGTTGCTGAATTATGTGGGATGCATAAAACTAAAACCTCGGGGACAGAAAGAGGGGATATTAAGATGTTCTTTTGCCCAGTAGAATTGTAAATGGGCTGATTTATCAATGCCATGCTCGTATACTGTGCTGGAACAACATAGGGGGAACTGCTGCTTTTCCTTTCCTCATCCCTACTAACTATCGTCATTTTTTCCTCTACTTCTTTTATGTTTGCTACTCTCTTGTGAGCTGCTATTTCCGGGGTGCCTTGGATAGTCGAAGCAGACTTTGTGCTGCTGAGGCTATAGAGGTGAGCAGAGTAAGCCTGATTTACCGTTTGGACATCTCTGTTGACTTGACATCCACCCCTTGGCGCTCATACTCATCATATATGACCTTATGCAGTTGCCAGCGCATAAAACCTTACTAAATACTATTTTTAAGAAAAAGGAGGGCTCCACTGTGTACGTCTTACTTTTGTTTCCCCTCTGTTGTTTATGTCCATCTGTCGTCTTGTGCGAGTAGTTGGATGGAGGACGCCACTGATACGTCCTACTTCTTTTCTTTCTCTCTGTTGTTTCTATTTGCCTTACCTCTTCCCTGCACTATATCGTGTTTGACCGTTATTATGGCAGTGTGCTTCTTTTAAAAATCAAACTCAATCACTTTGATCATGGTTGTGTCCATACAATTGTATACATGATGTAGGCCTACTTCTCTTTATTCTCGAGCAAACAGATGGTAGATGATGGCGGGTGCTCCGGTTTGGTTTGCCCCTTCTTTCCTGTTAAACATTTCTGTCGTCCTTATCTCCTTTCCTTCTTTTTATGTTTGTTACTCTCTAATCTTCGGCACTTATACTTATATGACCTGTGGGTGGTTGGAGGGCGCCACTGGTAGTGGTAGGTCCTACTTCTTTACTTTCCCCTCTGTTGTTTCTGTGTGTCTGTCTTACTTTTACCCAGCACTAAATGACCATTATTGTTTCGATGTGCGTCTCTTTACTCTCTAACAAACAAGCAAAACAAAGCACTTATATGACCTTATTGTTGCAAATGCAGTAAAAAAAATTGCTAAAAACAAACAGACCATGATACATTGAAGGAAAAAACATTTTAAAAACAATAAAGTAAAGATTTTATTTCAAGCTTTGTCGCCTATACACGCACGTCAAAGTCAAAGTCGGACGTTTCCGTACGTCACCTTTTCACACAAAAAATAAAAGGGATCCATAGAGTACCTACGCCCTTCGGTACACATCTGGACTGCCACGGGTTTCAACCTAAAGACGGATGTCTTCGTCAGTGCCTGACAGGTGGACGTCTGGGAGCTCCAGTACACAACTGGCGGTGTCCCCTCCCGTCCGGCACGTTGGACAAAATCGAAAGCCTCTCGTTGTTCCCTAGCGCTCATCACGCGAGCCATCTGTCCGGCATGCGGTCCATTGTTGAAGACGTGTCTGCAGGTACTCTCTGCGAAGTCCAGGCTGTTGACCGTGAAGTTGGACAAGAAATACTGGACTCTCTTCGTGCTAGGTACAGAGGCTGAGTCGAATGACTGCTCGTCGAATGCCGGACTCAGTGTGAAGGCTTTGTGGCCTAGCGCAGCGGCGAACATCTTCTCCCATGGCCCTTTGTCGGATTTGGAGCAGAGTCGGAACCTGTGGGTACATATCGCGTTATTATAGTTATAGACATTCTAATTACGGTAGATTAATTATAACGACTGTATGAATGTGCAGGGTGTCAGAAAAATAACAACAATGAATCCCCCCCCCTCCCCCACAAACCAAGAACAACAACAATGGACCCATTTAAAGAGCAACAATTCGGTCATCTTTGAACAAAATTTCAGCAAAACTTCGAAGAAATAAAATACAAATCAGGAGACATCAAATTGACGGCAGAGCGCAAAAAGTGACTATCTGTCCCCTTCGTTTTATGCAAGAAAAATTCTGAAATTATGCAAATTGAGCCAAAAAATGTGAAATTATGCGATTCTGTTAATTTATTTAACAAAAAATGATAAAGGCAAAGGAAAATGATCAGAAATTATGCTTTAAAAAAAAGACCCAATTTTGCTAACTTATGCGGGGTGCATAAACCTCAGGGACAGGACTATTATATCCACTTTTCACAGTTTTTAGAAAAACGAGAGTGAACTTTTGACGGTATTGAAATCTCTGTAACATAGTCAACATAGAAACGTTATCCCGATACCGAATTAAGCCACGGCTTAGATATTTACTACAGAGGTAAAAGAGCGGCTTAAAATCTCACTACCCACATCGATAACTTCATTTCGACCAAAAGTGGACATAGTCTGAGTCACATCTTGTGCTCAGTCATAGAAATTTTCCAATATGAAGAAAAGCAATTCACGTGTTTACATCTCTTTACCAGTGCTATCTATCGACTATCTGTCTATTTATCTATCTATCTATCTGTCTATCTAGGTATAGGTAGATAGATAGATAAATAGACATATAGATAGATAGATAGCAAGTTCGTAACATGCCATCCAGAATTGAGTAAAACTCTAGACTTTACTTCTTAAAAATCAAACATGATTTGTATCTGTACAAAACAAATTATTGTTTTAAAAAAAATAAAATTTGGCGCAACGATTATAAAAAAATAAAATAAAGACATCTGGCGTGAACATCCTGCTCTCACTGGAAACATGGAAGCAAAAGAGGCATCAACTCCCCATATACATTACCCCCTGAAAGACAGCTGAATAGTTGTGCTATATATTGGTGCTGTAGGCTTCTTTTATTTATGTTGTCCAAAAGTCACCGATAAAACCGTAGGCCAACTATAATTTTGTCTTTTAAGCGGAGCTAGACTATTTTACGCCTTACTTGGTCACGAGAAAGCGGTACTTCTCCAAAAAGCTCTCGGGGTGGCTTGTGTCTCCCTGTACAACTTCCACAGTCTGGTAGTGAGTCTCCGTGCCGACTATCTCTCCACGGGTAGTCAGAGCCTTGATCTCGCACTTGTACTGACCGGTCTCGTCTTGTAGCGGGTATGCCCACTCTATGGACAGCTTGCCGAGTCCGGCCGTCTCGTCGATGTCTCCTGAGACTTGGGCATCGTGAGTCGCATCGAAAACCTTGGGGGAAGATGAGCCGGTGATGTGTGCGAGGGGTGTGTAGCTGTCGTATTGAAGAAAGCAACGCAATAATTTTTTCAACTGGATATATTATTATATCTCTACTTTAGAATCAGGCTATGAAGTTCTAGATGGATTTTGATCGTTTTGATTTACAAAGACTATAATGTCAGAAGCCATACATCTGTCCCCGTAGAATTATGCAAATTTAGAAGGCCAAATTATGCTCAAAAAAGCAAAATTATGCAAGTTACCGTAACACCATTCACGACATGTTTTGCGCTTTTTCAACGCGAAGTTTCATGATTTTCATGTTTTATGTACAGGAAAATTGAAAACAGAACACACCATCAGTATCAGTAATTTGTTGTGTATTTGGAAAAGAAAACAATCCACATCAATGAAAAAAAAAATCAAAAAAATCTCTGTAACTTTCAGCTGTAGATCTAGATCTAGATCTATAGAGGAAAGAAAAACGTTTTTTTACAAAATTTTTAAAAACGACATCTGGACCTCTGATGCTGGCACATTACTAAAACCAGGGACACCTGTCAAACATGAAACATCAGCAGACATGAGAACTACATGTACAACTTTTGATGGATTGGAAAATTGAACATGCTCAAGGTACAAAATCACAACCCATAACCAAGATCTTCTAACAAGGGAAATAACCAACTTTTCACTTAAATGAGACTTATTACGGTGATTACATCCCTTGTTAGTCACATGGCGAGGCGTCAATTAACTGTTTTGTGAAAAAAAAGGGAAAAACGTGAAAAAACGCGGATAATCCAAAATTATGCAAATGTTGCAGAATTACCCGAAAAAACACGGCCGCACAATCGCATAATCCTACGGGGACAGATACATGATACCCTTTCCCACTTTCCTCGCTCAGAGAGGCCAGGAATTTGGAACTAAGTGTCTGACACCAACCTTTTCAACTGATAAAGGTATGCCAAAAAAAATCACATGGGGCCACTTCTAATTGGTGATTTTTTTAGAATGTTAAGTATACGTTGCGCGTGTCTCTTATCCCTGGGTAACCTGGAGGTCATGAGATCTGCTGTGTCACATGAGTTGTATTTTTCAGGAACGTTTCATGACCTTTTGGTTCGCAAGAGTCATTTAAGGGAAAACAATAGTAAAGAGATATTGTAGAATAAGCGATCGAGGAGCATAGGTAGATAGACCGATAGATAGATAGATAAATAGACAGATAGATAGATAGATAGCACTGGTAAAGAGATGTAAAATAAGTAATCGAGAAGAAAAAACAGACGGACAGATAGACCCTGCGAAAACGCAACCGTACATACCCTGGTTCGTTGTCCCGCTTCCGAGAGATGTCGATTGACACAATGGATCGGATACCAGGCCTCAGATTTATGACCTCACATGTGACCTTCAGATAGGTGTCATGGCCTTCGTACACCTTGTATGGTGATGCGTCAAATACTGCTGTGCCAACTGTGAACGTAAAATCTACGTCAAACAGGTACAGGAATTACATACGGGGTTCGATTGTAATAAATATAAGATTAAGTCATTTTTTTCGGAGGTACATCAAGATATTTAAATTTAAAGAGAAAGACACGCACACACACACATACACACACACACACACACACACACTCACACACACACGCGCGCGCGCGCACACACACACACGCACACATGTACGCGTGCGCGAACGCATTTTATCACACACGTTGAGAGAGAGAGAGAGAGAGAGAGAGAGAGAGAGAGAGAGAGAGAGAGAGAGAGAGAGAGAGAGAGAGAGAGAGAGAGAGAGAGAGAGAGAGAGCAATTGAGAAAGATGATAAAGTATAAAGGTCCAAGAATTTAAGTACCTCGGAAGTATATTCACAGATGATGGGCGACTGAACAGAGAAATTGAAACACGAGTACAAAAGGCCAATAATGTTAGTTACCAGCTTACTCCACTACTGAAACATCCTAACATCCCCATGACAACAAAACTCAAAATGATCAACACCATATTCATAGTAGTTGTGTCCTATCACCACTACTATTTATCATATATATGGAAAGAATTACAAAAGCCGCCAAAACAGAACCAGACACCCTAAATGAATTACTCTCCGCTGATGACAAAAGCCTGGCACTCAAAGATGAACGAAATCTCCAACACCACACCATCAGATTAAACGAAAAATGTAAGAACTACGACATGAAGATCAACATCAACAAAACAGAGACAATGAAAATAAGCAGAAAGCCAGAACCACCCAGGATACACATCAACAACAACTGTCTCAAACAGGTCCAAGAGTTAAAGTTCCTCGGAAGTATATTCACAGCGGATGGGCGACTGAACAGAGAAATTGGAACACGAGTACAAAAGGCCTATAATGTTAGTTTCCAGCTTACTCCACTACTGAAACATCCCAACATCCCCATGACAACAAAACTCAAAATGATCAGCATCATATTCATCCCAACACTCACCTATCAATGCCAAACATGGACCGCGAACAAGATATTAGAGCAAAAAATTACAACGTGTGAAATGCGATGCCTTAGAAAAGCAGTAAACAAGACCAGGTGAGACAAAATCAGAAACTCTGTACTCCGAGAAATGGTGGGCACAAATGATGACATGCATCACATCCCACACCAAAGAATCAAATGGTTCGGACATCTCCTACGATTACCAACACACCATCCGGCACAACGTGCCTACATCCAAGAATTCGATGGCAACAAGGCTAGAGGGCGACCGAGAAAGACCTGGACAGATGGAGTCAGGGATACATTACCCACCCATGGCATCCCCCTGACCCAAGCTCTCCGGCTGGCGACAGAGAGACGTCTCTTTCTTCCCGCGACACCCAAAAGGGTAAAAGCGGTGGATAAAAAAAGTAAAGTAAAAGATAAAGTATTGGATAGATAATAATAATGATAGTAGTAATAATAATAATAATAATAATAATAATAATAATAATAATAATAATAATAATAAAAATAATAAAAATAATAATAACAGCAACAACAACAGTAACAATAATAATAAAGGTAATAAAAATAACATTAATAATAATAGGCTATATAGAAGCCCGCTAACTAGTCGCTCTTGGCGCTCAACGAACAATACATCAAAGCACTGCACAGTACAAGTTGACTCATCATTGCAGCTGCAAATTGTTTCTCACCTTTCAAAAAGGTTGCGGGAGTTAGAGGAGTCCTTCTGGAACTTGAAGTAGTTTGATACCAGTAAGGTGGTGTAGTTGGGTAGCGCCAACTCTCTGTTGTTCCAGGTCTTTTTGAAGTAGTTTGATACCAGTAAGGTGGTGTAGTTGGGTAGCGCCAACTCTCTGTTGTTTCAGGTCTTTTTGAAGTAGTTTGATACCAGTATGGTTGTGTAGTTGGGTAGCGCCAACTCTCTGTTGTTTCAGGTCTTTTTGAAGTAGTTTGATACCAGTATGGTTGTGTAGTTGGGTAGCGCCAAATCTCTGTTGTTTCAGGTCTTTTTGAAGTAGTTTGATACCAGTATGGTTGTGTAGTTGGGTAGCGCCAAATCTCTGTTGTTTCAGGTCTTTTTGAAGTAGTTTGATACCAGTATGGTTGTGTAGTTGGGTAGCGCCAACTCTCTGTTGTTTCAGGTCTTTTTGAAGTAGTTTGATACCAGTATGGTTGTGTCACATCGTTGGGACTGTTTTGTTCGGCCGTTGACCAAGACGGTGGGGTGGAAGATATGGCAAGAGTTTCTTTGAAAGATAAAATGATATTATGTGTTTATAGTCCTAGATAGTATAATACGTGTACTTACAAATGACATTGAACTACAGTCAAAATTGTTGAAGACAGCTTTCAATTGTTGAGAAGAAAAATGGGTTTCTTGGACAGTGTCGTTGTTGTTTAGAAGAAAAAAAACACGAAGGGAAAAGTGAGAAGAGGTAGTTCGTGCAGATGTATTTCTTGGACAGGTGGCCGTTAGAGACGGTTGGATTGTAATTCAGCGTACCTATAATTAATCTAAAAATATGAAGTGACTTGCAAATGTTACTTTCGATATTCAAGGAATCCACAATTTTATTAATTGGTCAATTTTTTTCTGGCATATAGAGTTATTGATATCATCTAAATAAAGCTTGTTCATTGGTCTTGCATTTGAGGAAAAAAATCCTATCAATCTTGAATAAAAAATGAGATATTTGCCATTGACAGATGTGGCGGTCGCCTGGGTCAGATGTTAAATTACCGAGAAAATGTCCGCCAAAATTTTATAGTGACTTCTAAACTTTGAATGTCTTTGGAAACTGCAATTTTTTAATTTAAACACAACATCACTTGTGCCTTTAATCAACATTTTCTAGTACAAGTCACAAACAAATGTGTTTTGAAAAGGACGTTGAAAGTGTTTAGATAAAATAAAATACCAAAAACCCCCGCTCCCCCAAATCCAATGAAAAATTCTCAAGGTGCGAAAAAACTGTCGGTTTCTTCGATTTCATTATTTTGACGAATGTCTGATTTCACCACAATGCCATAGAATACGTTTAACAAACAAACACACTAGCTAACAAAGAAACAAAACCCAACCAACAAACAAACAAAACAAAGCGTAAAATCTCCACCACTGAATCCAGCAAGAACATGGAACAAGAGAAACAGAAGCAGGCTGGGAGCCGAAAAGTGACCCATCCTTAAATCTGGCTCCTCCTCTCCAAGCTGCGATAAATAACAAATACTGGCATCTTATTTATAAATGTCTGTTTATATAGGTTTCTCTATATGTGGTTTGTCCTACATGCTACCAGTATCAGCTATGACTTATCGTTGACCTTTTTATTCTGCTAATCAGAACCTGAATCCCGTGATAACATACAACACAGACGAATGAGCTCACATAAACTGTCATGTTTATATTTGTCATGTGTATTGTCTTCACTTATCAGTTTTGATAATGATGATACCAATAATGATAAATAATAATAATAATAATAGTAATAATAACATCATCATCATGACAATAATAATAATAATAATAATAATAATAATAATAATAATAATAATAATAATAATAATAATTTTTTAAAAATAATCATAAACTTTACACTGAACAGGAGACCAGATGAAACAGGCAGACCCAACTAGAAACATCCATCAACTTCGTAAAAACTAGTAACAAGTTGGCTGACAGAACTAAAAGCAAAAGACGATAGTGTAAACTAAATTTTAAAAATAAATAAATACATGTACATGTACAAAAAAGCAACCGAAAGGCCGGATAGAGCTAGCTGTACGGGAAGAGAGAGGAGGGAAAAACAGACAAAAACAGTGATACAGAGTGATACAGACTATATTTGTAAACAAACCTATGACAGCATGTTATGCCCTGAATATTAAACATTAATTAAAACACAATGTCCGCGCATGGCAGCACCCTGGATGTTCCAAGCACCATGTTATATTTTACCTGGAGATCTAGTAGCTTCATTTTCACAGAAAAAAAAACGTGTAAACAAATAACACATGCTACGTCATCGGCATCATTAACGCATGAACCTC